TACAGAAATCAATCACTGAGAAACACCTTCCCCCAAAATGTTGAGAAGTTTGGATTAAAGCTTTCTTGCTAACAAGTAAGCATTTATAATGACTGTTAACAAGGAAAAGAGCCCAGACAGCTTCCCTGGGAGCATATGATTTGTCAACCACGATACCAGAGAAAGGTGCATTTCTGGACTTCTTTTCCTGCTCTGACTGGGGCTGCGCTGACAGGGGTCTGTCTCCCTCTTCATCTGACTGCAGCTGTGTTGACAGAGGTCCCCTGATTAGCCCGAAGAAGAATTTAGTAGGTGGGATTCAAGGAAGTAAAGTGTGCCTGGAAGCATCTGGCTGTAAGGTGGAAAGGGCTGCTCATAACCTTCCTCTAATTTCATCAGAGCATCCTCCCTCTCCTGACCACCTTCATCTGCAGCAATCTACCAGATGAATCTACCAGATTCCCTCCATACCTGTAGTGTAGATTCTGACCACTAGCTGATGGTGACAGCTTGTCTTTCAGATCATGCTTCCTCCTGACTTTGAGTGTATATCTAACACCATGGAAAAGCAGAACCTTCCCAGAATCCAGCTATGTCTCTCAAATACATACTCTTGTCACAGGTAGATACTTAACCAATCTTTTCATGCCTGCTTCCCCCACATTTTCAGCTTTGCTGCTGCTTTAATGAACTCTTCATCACATGCTCTGAGCATACAGTTTTTTTCCAAGGCTAGGAAGGAGATGAGCTTCCTTGTTGCAGTATTCCTTCTGCTACAAGCTAGGTCTGCCTGTGTTACATGTGAACACAAATTGTGGAGAACCAGCAGTAAAATAAACTGATTTCACAGAGGGGGGGAAATGTGTTTGAAGAGATGCAAGAGATTGGGTTTTCTCCATGCCTCTCTGTCTTTCCATGTATTGGATACATTTCTAAGGAAAGTTTTCTAAAATGAAACTAGTTCTTCAAGTGATCTGTGTCCTTGTTAACATGACTCCCTACCTGTTATCTTCTTCCATCTCTACTCACATCCATTATCATAGAAAAAAAGGCGCAACAAAGAAATCAAACATTGATCTAAGATGCCCAGACCAACAGCAGCATTGAGGAAACCAAGGTTAAGACAGTATGCACTTACAGATTTTCCATCAGTGTTGACTCCTGCAGCAGATGTCCTTCAGGACCACTTGACACCAATTCTCACAGCTATCCTTGTGATTGCATGTGCCTCTCATCCAGCCCAGAGGTGTCTGTCCTTGACCATTCTTCCAGCAGTTTGATGGAGACTTCTGCACAAATCACTCATTTTCCCTAGAAAGTGAGGCAGTATGAGCATGAAGAATGAAGTTTAAATATTATTAACCTGTCAGTTATAAATTATATGAAGGTGATGTGAGAAGATGTGGTAACATGAGTTCAATTATTCCAATAACAAAAGGGAAATAAAACAAAATCCACAGAATCTCACAGGTTGTCATGACAATTTGGCTTTCTGTTATAATGGGTTCACCTCCAAACCAGCAAATAGTGCATTTATTCTTTATCCATGTTTGCATTATTGAAGTTAAAGTCAATGGTACACTTTGAAAATACAACAAAGGTACTAATCATTCTTGTTAACTGGATGAGCCATTAAGTATGTTTGGTGAAAGTAAACAGAAGATATTACATGGATACTTTCTACTGGGCTCTTAAATAAATAACTTTAACCAATTTGTTCTTTACTTAATTTTAAAAAGGCATGTATTACCAGTCTTACAAAAAGCCAAATAGTCAAGGTGATGTCTAAAAGTCTTTGACATGGTAGTATATAAATCTAAAACCTGCAGAATATGTTGATAGCTAGAGCACAGCCTACAAAATAACCATCAGGCCAAAAAAAAATAGGAGAATTTAAGGGCAATCAAGTAAATTAATGGGAGGGAAAGCAAAGTGTTGACAGACTTTGGTTGAGAAGCTCCTGAGTTTCAGGTTGCCAGAACTTGGATGATTGTAACACAAAAAACACACCTAGTTATTGAGGTTGCCTTCTTCCCCTTTGCCATTTTACCAGCACCTGCTGGAAAGCCTCCAGAACCTCCTGGAGCCTTGCCCTGCTGCAGTATGGATATTCTTACATAACCTAAAGAAACTTGTCAGGGTAAATACACTTGATTGATAGCAATTTGTTCAGAGTAGATGACTTGAAGACACAAGGTCAAGAATTTAAGGTAATTTGCAGCCATTTGTCATGCTGAGAAAGTGAAAGAAAACAGACATTTCCATAGGTAATACACTCTTAGTTGTGTTGCAGGCTGAACAGCAGAGGTTGCATTTTCTTGTGGTAGTACTGAAGTCTCCAGTTCTGATACTTTCAAAAATGAAACATTTAGATGTTTAGAAGCAATTAGGCTGTATATGAGGAATACTCGATATCACTGAAAGAAGAACTATAATGAATAAACCATTCTGCAATTTAAATGAATCCTAGGAGTGATATACTGTCCAAGTAGATATGTCACTATTCTATGAGAAATATTACATCTTTTAAATTAAAAGCGAGGTCACATGGCACTAGAGCAGAACATAATAGCGGTTATTTAGCAGGTTGGAACAACTGCTATTGAATCACTAGTACTTATCTCCTTTGATGTAAGTAACCCAACAATTGTAAGATCATATGCCAGTGACTGTGAATTAAGGGGACTACTATTAAAAGAGCATGATGGTCTCCTGAAGTCAGTTGCTTACTATTTAATTATGATGAATAATACCAAAAGTAGTTATTCTGAAATTGAATCTGTCTCTTCTTAGTCAAAAATATGGGAAACATCCTGAAGGATGAGTGTCTCATGAACTTGTTCTGACTACATGCTGGCCATGCTAGGATAAACAGCTATGCCTTGGATAACATGATAGCAATCTTACTGACAGTGTAATGCATTTTTGGTAGGGTGGCAATGGGATGAAAAAAAAAACCCAAATCAGGACAAAATTGAATTCAAGCTAAATGACTTTTTTTTTCAGTAAAATTTAGACATAATTGTTAGTTAGAAGTTCATTTTGAATCAATTTAATGTATCATTTAAAAAATAATCTTTGTTACTTCCTGGATATTTGAAACATTTTTACTAGCAATGATTATGGAGAAATTTACCTGAGAAAGGGAGCCCCATCTACTGTCTGCTACAAAATCTGCAGATTAACACTTGGGGCCGCAAGTCCTGCAGTGGGAGTCGATTCCACAGCACAAGGGTTTCCTTTCCTCCACATCAGGAGGCAAATCAGGAAGTAGGATTAAGACCCAGACTGCATGGCAGCCCCCTCTCTGGCCCTGACGCTGCTTTGTGGGAAAGGGGTGGTCCTGCCACCACTGCCCAGCTTGAGGACACAGTAGCCATAGCACGCTGAGGAGGCCATCTGATCCTTCTTCCCTCCTGAACTGCTGGGAAAAGATGTCAGAGTCACCATGGATGAAGCCAATTTGAAAAGGCTCCTGAGATCAAATGTAGGTCTTTCCATTAGAGGAAGACATTATTTGGTTGGAAACGTGACCAGAGGTCTCAGTCAAATAGGAGACAGGCTCAAGATTTCTGAGGATGCAGGGCTAAGGCTCAGAGGCCCTGCAAAGCTTGACTTCTTTCACTGTACCTCTGCATCCTCTGACATAATCTGCCAGCCAAAAAAAATTAACCTTTAGATCAATCTTGCGGGCTGGCAGAGCAGAATTGGCAGTGAAATCTGCTTGGCAGCAAGAACTCTCATGGAGAACGGCAGGGCCTGTGTTTGTTACCCAGCTGGGTCCTTCATGGGTTATTTCCTTATTTACATTGAAGGGAAATATACGAACATGACATTTTGAATTAGCACATAGTAATTTTCTACAGATTAGGACTGAGGGACTTGTGGGTACTCTTCATGCTGTGTTAGTGAGAGGGATAAATGAGGCCATGCACACCTTACAGCAGTGCCCCAGCAGGGTGGAACCTTAAACAAGATGAAGAGGACACTTCTAGGAGGAAAACATCAAGGCATTAGCACTATGACCAGACAAGTTGTTCTGCAATGCAAATATAAACATTTATCAGTATCCAATGGGGAAAAAAAATACTGATGAGACAGTTATATTAACTAGCTTTTGTTGTTAGGCTTTTAATTTGCCTTGTAATCTACATCTACTATATTAATAAATGAATAAGAATTTATTGTATTATGCACTAGAGAACAATCTGGTTTTAACTAGCATGGGCATGCTGTTGTTTTCTAGATGGTCTGTTATTATGGTTTGGGCTAGTTGAAGATTTGTTGTTGGACTTCTATTGAATAATGCCATTCTCTAACAAAAGGGAAATTAAATGTTGGCACGAGGATTAATTATGACTACTGAGTGTTAAATCGATAAAGAAAGACTTTCAGAAGCTTTTTCAGCTGTAGAGATCAGGTGATGTCTCATTAAATAGCTTTAGAACTAGTGATGGCATAATCACTTTAAAAATCCCACACAAATTCAAATTTTGCTTTTTTGCACTGTATTGAGCTCATTTCAGAAGTACAGTAGCACATGACATGTTAGAACTATTGACCCTTTTAAAACAATTTCCTTTTCAATTGTTTACATCTTACACTGACACCTCCCCTCCCCCCCCTTTATTTTTACATTCTGTAGGTTTGCACAGCTTCTTCAGGGCACATATAAAAAGCAGTATATGTCTCTGTCTGGACTTCAAATTAGTATAATCAGCTGCATCTTTGAAGAGACCTCCTTCTGATAGAATCAATCAGAATTTTTCCTCATTGGAAAAAACCAATGATTGTGAAAAATCAGTTTTGTCTTTATTATGACTTTTTTTTTTTTTTTTTTTTTAGCTGAATTATAGCACCAAACTCACTGAGAAAGCATCAGATCAGAAATTTAGATGTTCCCAAATAGCTCTAAATCATTGAACAGATACTGTTTTGCAATATCTTCTTTTGTGAAATACAATATATTTGTGATATATATATATATATATATATATGTGTGTGTGTGTTTTAATTTCTAGATGGCTACCCTAAAGAGGAAATGATTTACAGATGGAGGAAAAACTCAGTGGAGGCTGCTGACCAGAAATCTTGGAGACTGTATCAGTTTGACTTTATGGGTCTCAGAAATACTTCAGAAATTGTGAAAACCTCTGCAGGTAAGGATGATACAAATGTTAGTTCTTGTTTTGGAAAACAAATTCTTTCAAAACACTTGTTATAAGCTGGCTTTCACTCAAGTGCAATTTGACTTTGATTTGTACTGACATTCATATTAAAATCTCTAAATTGAAAACTTCAAAACTGTTGGCTTTGTCTAGATTTTTGATAACTTCTCTATTCTTTCAGTAATTTCACAAACTGAGGGATAAATGCTAACTTGACATGGCTGGCTGTTTTATACTTGAAGTTACTATATCATTCTCATTCCTCACCTAACTTTTTAAAGCCATTTCTGCATTGAGAGATACATTTTTATCATATATTTAAGAGAAAGTTTTTGAGCACAATGGTGGGTTAGTGAAATTAGACACTTTCAATAGTAGTTAATCATTCAGCCACAGGTTTAGTATTTTTCTTAATATTTCAAAGGCATTCTATTTCTCAGCTCGTAAATGGCTTTGCTGATGACCTTACCAATTGATTAAAATTAAAATCTAATAGTGCCTGTTTTATTTTTTTCAGAAATCTTGCTGTTTCTTATAATAACAGCAACATAGGGGAAAAAAATGCATAAATAGGATACATTATTTGAACAATGAATTCTCATAAAATTCAAACAATGTCTAAACTTTATACATGACTCTGCAGTAAGCTCTGTGATTACCACTTGGCAAGTTTTCTTCCAGCTGCAGAAGGAACCTGCTAGAAGCAACCTCTGCTTAACTGGTGGTGAATTTTTGATATTTTTTTTTTTCCGAAATGTAAGCAGAGCTATGTCATTTTTTTAGACACATTGTGAATAATAGTAATAATAATAAATTATTAATCTGTGAAACTACTGCTGTAGGGTTATGGTCCAGCCACTGATATCAGCAGTGTATGCTCAGAAATGGATAGCAATTTTTATAATGACGAGTCACTAAATCTTTAGTGAATATTTTGGGCTAGTAGTTTAGCAGAAGAAAATGTTTCAAACAACGCACATGTAAAAGTTATTTTCTGTTATGGATACAAATTCCTGTAGTCTGTACATTTCTCAGGAGTGTAGATTTCCCATAAATTGAACCAGGAGTTGGTGGATAACAGCCAAGTACAAAATACCAAATCATTAAAATATCTTTGTATGTAGACATAGAACCTGGAAGGGATCATACGAATAGGAGAGAAAGCCTTGCTCTTTCTGCTTTGCTCACATTTGGAGTGATGCCATCCTGAGTTTGCATCAAGAACTGCTAAATACACATGCAAGAAAAATTATTGAGTCAGCCATATTAAGATGTTGACAGTGTCTTGATAAACAGATCTATTAAACTCTTCCTTTGCACAGGACGAAACCATTTTTATAGAGGTCTTCTTCAAGTAAGTGAATGGTTAATGTGAAGCGAGGAAAATTATATTTCTTATGCGCTTTTTAGTATATGCCAGTTAATACAAAGATGAGTTAGCTGACACAATGTTTTTCCTATTGCTATTGATGCTTCTGCTCCATGTTTATGAGTGCAAAACCCAGTAACAGTGTTGGACTGAACCTACTGGAGCCATCACATTCTATTCTCCTAAAGGCATCACAGTGGCAGAAAGTTGTTGGCAAACTGGAATTTATTCAAACACTAAAAAAAACCCCAAAGCAACCTTATCAGGCAGTTGTGAAAACTAACTGGGAAGAAACAATGTAAATTGTATGAGTCAGACTGTCATCTGGTGTTATTAGGTAGAAAAATCAGTTGTGCATCTCAGCAAGTGTCTGAGAAGGGGATCTCAGTCAACAAATACATGAAAGATGTGAAAAATAAACCCCTGAGTTTGCACATGGACCTAAACTTGCATAGAACAGACTCTCAGGATGTTTTTACAGTTTAAGGTATTTTCAAGGTCAGATTTACTGAACATCAGTAAAGTTTGTCAGGAGCAAACCCAGGCCTGGGACTGGGAAAACTAACAGGTGCATCGGAAAACCTTGAGTATGCCTCATGCTATAGAGCAAGGATTCCCAAAATGGAGCGAGGAGGGCAGGGCACAACCCACCTGGCCCTGTGCAATATGTCAGGTAATTCTGCAACTACCTGCTGTGAATGTCTATGTGGAATAAAGAGACATCTGTGCTGTGGTACACGCCTGTTTACTGAAGAAAAGTAGCCCTATCCAAAATGTTTGAGAATTAGGGAACCCCCCAAAGCTGCTGTTTCCCACTGTATGGACAATCTCTGATGAAGGGAGGTGGCAGCTGCTGTCTGCAGGATCCCATCTCCTTTACATACATGTCACTAGGGCTACAGGTGGTCAAAAAAGAGATGCCAGGTTCTGTAATGGAAGATCTGTGGTCAGTTTACACTAAAGCTGCCCAGAGAAGGAGGCAGCGCTGTGGCTGCCCCTAGAACACTATGGGTAGAGGACCCCCCTCAAATTCAGGCTGCTCCCCAGAGACAACAGTACCCACCAACTAGCCTCTGGGCCTGTGTGGGGCCTCCCTGAGCCATGCAGGAGCCATAATGGCCCCACCAGCAGCCATCCCTTCACAGACTCAGGATAGGAAGGAAGAGCGGTGTTATTCTGAGTGCTGCACAGGGAAACATTCTGAGTAATGAGACAGAGGTAAGAAGAGGAAGCAGGCAGGATACCAACAGCAGCTTCCTGACAAAGAGAGATCCTAAATATCAACTCTTCCTCACAAGGGAAATTATGGAAACTATGATTACACAGGGCTTTTAAAAGCAGACTAGGCAAAATATGAGAAAAGATACTGCAGGGAACAGTCCTCTACTAGCAGGAGATGGATTCGAAACCCTAACATCTTTTTTTTTTTTTTTCCATCTGATTTGCACCTTTCTGATGGTTTATGACACTTTTACTTTTCACTAAATTGTGTGTTCATCTATAATATGAGAACTGCCACAGCATTACCTGCCTGTGTCCAGTTCATAAATAACTTTTTTAGCTCCTTTTCAGCAGTGATCTCTCTACAATGAAGAGAGGTCACACTGACCACATGGCAACACACTGCTGGTCTTCCAGCATCTGTGTAAGTCCTTTCTTGGTAGATATTTTCACCACAAAATTACTAGATTCAGTACTCAGCGGTGTTCTGCTGTTTTGTATTCTTTTAGTCTTTCCAAACCTTTTTCAGACATCTAAATAACCTTTATGTTAATCTAGGGAAATTTCAGAGGCACACAAGTAGGAAGCCAGATGTCACAAAGTGTATTTCTCATACCTAAGCAAGATGAGAGTTGTTGTCATCTCTTGCCTTGAACCACCAGTGGCTTAAAGCATTGCCACAATGGTGTGCTTTACTTTTGCAAGAAAACTATCCTCTTTTACAATAATCTGGCAGCCAGAGAGTTTTCATTGCCATCTGGAAGAGGTGTTCCAACTTTTTCTTGAGGGTTTTTCTGAATTTCAGGCTAAGATACAAACACAACCAGATAAATATCTACTGCATATGGTGATTACATGGAATACACAGCAAAAATCACTGTACTGGTGCCATGGTCATGAACCTTTATCTTACACTTTAAGTAAGCTCTCACTGTCAGGTGATATCAAATAAATTCACAAGTACTGAAGAATTCTCTGGCTGCCATCTGTCAATGTACTTATATACTATAGCAAGAGCACTTTTCTTGCTACAATGTCAAATTACTCTGACAAAGATAATTAAAGTAGAGGGAATACTAAGCCACCTGTCATTGAGCTGTGCAGAAAGAAGGAACTGCATGCAAGGAGAAAATTCTCAAATTTTAAAACTGCAAATCAGCCAACAGAAGGGTGACCAGGAAAACAGAAGAGAGAACATCATCCTTAAAATCACCCTGTGTGTTTTCAGTAAACTTCAGGTTTCTGAGTCCGAGACTTGCCAAGTACATTTGGGGGAGAAAAAAAAAAAAAAAAAAAAAAAAAAAAAAAAAAAGACCAAAAACATAATCATGAAGGAATCCAGAAGTAAAGCTCATGGAGTAAGCTGCAGTCTGCTTTCACTTTTCTGGTGACATCTCCCCCAGGAAAAGTCTATGCCTCCTTTTTAAACCACTCAATTTTTTACACTGCTAGATAAAAACAAAGACCTTGTAGCTACTGAGTCTAATTTACATTTACTTGAAAACTTCTTTATATCATACAAGTTCTATTTGTGTTCCTCAGATGCCTTTAGCCTGAGAGGTTTTTGCAGTCCAAAGGAGCCTTTGTATAAATAAGTTCAAGTTATTTCATCAGAAATAGAAAAAAACCCTAAGTGTCCTACTTAAAAAAATTTAATAGCTGGTCATTATAAATGAAATGACCATTTCATTTGTACCAAGAACCAGACAGAAAGTACGATTTCATACATTCTGAATAACCCTCAAGCATCAATACCCAGACCCAATAAATAGCCATAACTACTGCCGTAAAAAGTTACAGCTTTGCATACATACAGCAGATGGGTGACAATTAGTAGAGTCTGCCTGTCATATGACTTCTACATTGTGCTTTATACTTCACTGTTTCATCAAGTACCTCAGCTTACATGATGCTCTCAGCTTTATATCACTGGACTGCAAAGCAAGGTTAATATTTATTGTCACAGACTGAGATAAAGCTCTTTGGGACAATGCTAATAACTGCACAATTGAAAGGACATACTCTGTTGCAGAGGACACAGTAAATGGCAAGTAAAAAGCTACCATAGAACAAAAATAAGACAGCTTGTCTCTTAAGAAGATGCAAAGTCCTACCTAAATAACTATTGACAGAAGGAGGAAGGAATAGATATGTATTTATAAGGAGGCCAGATTTCACTGGGAGAGCCCCCATCGAGTCAAGGAAGGGATGGTTCAGGTGGAAACAGGCATTAGCTGATGCTCCTTGACTTTGTCAGAAGACCAACACACTCCCAGAGATTTATCCAGAGGAAAAGATGCTCATGTACCTAGCTCTTCTACTAGGTGAGCAAAGAACAGCTGACTTGAGAAACCATTTCAATAGTGGCACTTCTGCTTACTTTTCACTGTTAAATTCTCCC